ACTGAAAAAGAAAAAAAAACATATACGAGCTTGACAGAAAATAAAAATAAACGATCAGTCTAACAATACATAAAAATTCAAATTCTCATTTTCGTTTTATGTAGAATAGGTTTATTACCGTTCACGTAGCAGTATATAACGGCCTATCTTGATTGATGCTATGAAACACAGACATGAAGGTCATGGTTGAATGCGTTTCTGCTGACACGTCAATGCGTTACAGATCCACAATGTCAACGCATTACATACTGACACACGACGGGAAAAACCGAAACAAAATCAAGATACATCGATTTTTAACGGAATTCGGATAATTACCGTTCCAAAAGTTGGTTTCTATTGATTATTAAGTAGTTTTCTACTCTGGTGTGGTAATATTTTTATCATTTTTGCACCCGAGTGGTTCCGTGTGGTATTTAGTAGGACCCTTTTTTTCTGTCACAATTGCCATATTTGCTAATTTGCTGGTAAATTTGAAAATCTGTTTAAAAAATCATATTGCTGCCTAAAAACTAAACAAAAAACAAGTTATGATAAAGGGTTTTTCTGTCTCTACGTGCTTGCTTTCAGATGCTTGTCAATTGGTTTCAAACGTACTAGGCTGCCCCTTCACCCTCCACAAAAAAAAAGAACTTGTATTGTTTGTTAAAAGCTATTTCTGAGTTTATTTCCAACTTAAAAGGGAAAGCATACTTCTTCGCCTGTTAATTTTTTCTGGTTTTTTGCATATAGCTCATCTTAGTGTACTTTTTGCAAGTACAATGCAGAAAATATTTTGTATAGATCTTCTTCGGGATTGTATGTTAGTGAATAACTCGCTATAAGTTAAAACTACTGTTGAGATCAACTTGTAATTAAAATAAAATATTTCCATGGAATAAAAAAAAAAGAGAAAAGAGAAAACAGTGTTTAGAAAAATAATGTGATGAGAATGTAATAATTGTAATAATTATTTACAGTAGTTTCCTGGTTTTGTTATTTAAAAAAAACATTATAAGATGTGTGAATTCAAAGGATATCTGCCTGTATTTGATTTAGTGGAAATTCACTTGTTAAATTTGAAAAGTGTTTTTTTTTTTTTTTTTAAATTTGAAAATTTTTTTTTTTTTTTTTTTTTTTTTTTTTTTCAATTTTAAGGAATGAAAAAAAAAAGAATTTTAACCTAAAGTTGTATTATCTCGCCATTAGCAAGATACAATGATCAATATGATGATTCGCTAGATTTGAATTCGCCCGCGCGGTGCGGATTGAATAGTTAGAAAATGCTTAAATGGAAAAAAAATGCTCTAATTAGTTTTTAGCCCACTCTCTGAGAGAGAGGGCTTATGATAATTCTGAGCGAATTTTGAAGTCATTTGTTTTTCTATCTCCTCCTTCGTTTGTGACGCGATTAGGGCGATCTTGCAATAATATGGAAGATAAGGCGTTGGGAATTTAAAGTATGAAGAGTTTTTGCGAAAATATTGTCGGGAAATATGTGAAAAGTATGGTTTTTTTTAATCATATTTCTTAACACTACGGTAGGTTTCCTATGGCAGTAGGAAAGCCACTGGAAAAATCGTGTCGAATTTCGCCTAGGAGAGGGCGCCCTATATTCGAAATTAGTTCAAATTTTCAGAATTTGATGGTGTTTGAAAAAACGTTAATTCATAAAGTAACTTACTACTGTAGTGAAATATTTTTGGTGTATTTGGACCGAAACCATGAAGAGTAATTTAATAGACAATTCGTGGTACTCAATTTTTACGAGTTTGTGCTTTAGTAATTCGCGAATTTAAAATACAAATAAATTTTGAACAGTAAAGCATTTAAAATCCCTGCTGTAAACATTTATAATCCATAATTTAAAATATTAAGATGAAAAATCGAGCCCCGGGGACGTAAATCCGACTCTGGAAACTAAGGGTGCCTCAGTTTCGTTGCACTGAAGACCAGCGTGTACTCCATTTGGTAAATATCGGCGATCGTACTCGGGAAGATCGTAATATAGGCCTACAGAACATTTCGAAGACCGTGTGCTAGACAAATAATTAATTTGTATGAAATAAATATATACCCTTAGAATAAATATTATTAAGTATGTAATCTTCTAACTCAGTAATTTATAGACAATATTACAGTTTGTCTCTATTTGATTCGTATGCGAGGCCTCAAGCCTGAGGCTAGCAGTGGC